GGGACGAATATTTGACCTAGTTCCTATACTTGTTTTTTTATTAAGAAAGTAACTTCTCAGGTATTATGTTCATGTGAATTTCTGTATTTAAATACACATCTACAAAGTAGAAGAATACAAAAATAACTTCAGGAAAAACTACTCTTTCTATGCACCTGCAAATCCAAAGAAACACTGGACATTTGCCCACTGATAACTTCAGACACTTAAGGAAATTTTGGTCCTTCGCATGTTACTCAAGCTTCCCTAATGAATGATGGTTAGCTTAGGTGTTATTTGGCAGGGAGCTAACAAGGCCTCATTTAAAAAAATGTGTATTACTATTGTCCTGTCTAAGGGATGTTTTTTACAGTTCACTGTTATTATGCTGAATTAGCTCTGCAGAGAAAACTTGAGGAAACACATGTTCAACAACATAAATTATGCATCTTTGGGCAACATACGTATGGTAGATACCTGAAGGGAGAGTCTGTCAGTTCAATAACAAGCCTTTAAATAAAACCAGAAAAGTTCTTGGATCTCTAGGGCTCCTATACTGCCATTTATTTTCTATCAACAGTATATATCTGTCTAGATCCTGGCACTGTATGTTTGTAAATGAGCGTGTGTGTGTGTATGTGTGTGTGTGAGAAAGAGACTAAAGTAATGAAAAGTGTGAATCTCCAAAGACCTCCAGGTTTAGAAGGGGAAAACAACTGTTAGTGAGTTTTTGAGCGACCCTTGGGATCTATCACGTCCCACCCTTCAGGACACGTATTTCCAGTTCTTTCTGATCATCCTGTTTGGTAGCTTTCATGTTTTTTCATGCTTTCCCTAAAGGGAAAAGATTATTCAACTATTAGGTCATCTTGTACAACTGCTTTTCTTTCTCAAGAGTCTTCTTTTTCCAGAAAGGTACTTCAACTGAAATTGTAGAAGAGATTTCTAAAGGATGAGATACTGTTGACAAGATTACAGCCAAAGCCAGCATGACTTGACACTGTGTCACACCATAAAAAGAAAATAAGGTAAATTTTTTCTGCAGTCATTCTATGAAGCATCTTTTTGGAAATTTCATAACAGATAAAATGGAAAAGTTTTTTTTCTCTGCCTTTCCAGTGTTTGCATTCACACAAATATTTTTACACCATTAGCTATAGTGGCAACAGAGCTTCAACATAGATGGCAATTCCGGGAGAAAAGAATATCCATTTAAAATGTATGGTTTTGTCAAACACAGTTCTGAGATAGCAAAGAGCTTTTATCATCAAGCTAACATGACACTGCCAAAAGGCTGACTCCTTCTCTGGCTTTTAACCTCACAGCAATACCACTTTACCTTACGATAGCTTTAATGTTCAAACACTAAGAAGAATCTTGTGGTGATGCCTCAAGGTGTGGAAAGTATTCAATAGGGGTCATTCCCCACTGTGTTGATATGGTATCAAAGTGCAATATGTAAACTCATTTTCATGAGCATTTGCTTGCCCTCCTATTGACTTCAGAGACTGGGCAACCACAACAACTGGCCATGTTGCAGTTGAGCATCCATGGTTTTGTAGGCAATGCTGGTAATCAAATTTCATTTATTTCTTCGCTGCTTTCTCCACCTTGGCTGTGCTACATGTCATGAAATAAGCTGGTTCTGTGTGCACTGCATTCTTGGGAGCATTATTTGTCTCCCTGGGGTGGGCAGGAGCCCTGGATAGGTCCTGACACTGAAGTCTCTATGCATTCTTCCCCCAACTCTCCCATGCCTCGTATCTACACAGTGCTTTCCACTGCAAGAAAACCCAAGTGTGCAAGGTGGCTTGTCTTGAACTAAAGAGCTGATCAACTAGCAGGTACTCTTTGCAATAAACCTGCTTTGCTGACCTAGAAACCCAAAAGCATTTAATTTATCAGCTATGGGTTTGCCTTTGTCCTGCAGGTCGTTTCTAGTGCTGGGTGGTGATCCATCACCTGTGAATCATTAATTCCCAGCTGGTGTCACCATCTGTGGCTCCAGCCATTGTATTGGTAGTGGCTTTTCCTCGATACAGGTGCACACTGTGATTACTCTATCACACACTGTTAGTTTTGGACCACAGGAGGTTTCGTGGGAGCTGTTTCTGGGGGGATAGATGGACAGAGAGACACAGAGAGGAAACTGTGTGAACAGCAATCAATGTTGTCCTGATACCTTACCAGGGGTAAATTTTCAAGCTCTTTTCAGTGCTCTTAGGGCACAAATAGACCTTAATAGCCCAGATCAGACTCACATTGGCCTCTCTCACACCCTCTGACAATGGGCCCAGAATCCCCATTTAAAGGTAGCCCTGGCCTTTTGGTTCTTGTCTGAACTCTATTATGGGTATGCTTGTACTCAGTTCTGTCTTTGACCAGTCTCCTGGGTGGGCCTCTAGCTCTGCCTCCTGGTGGTTATGACTGGACTCTGGAATGTCCTCTGAACTTGATTTGTCAACTTGCCTTACTGGATCATATTATTCTCACCCTGTGGGTTGCTTGCAATGGAATCACTCTTGGCCTCTGGCTTATCCCCTATCATGAAACAATCTTTCTCTTGCTGTTCTCTGACACAGTCATAAGTCTTGACAGAAATCCTCATTTGAAATTTTGCATAAGGGATTATTTTGTGTGCTGTTTGGTTACCTAATTTTAATGTATCTTGTTCAAAAAACCACAAGCTATGCTTATCATATAGCGATATTTAATCTGTACTCATCCTATGTACAGTATGTTTGAGCCTCTGGAAATGGAAGCAAACGATGAAGATGATGATTCACCTAGGTTGGAGGTATTGCCAAGGTTAAACGAGCAGCTGAGGTCACTTGGCTTGTTCAACTTAGAGAAGGTTGAGACAAGGCTTCATCAGTCTATTAACTTTCTCCACGGGACAGTGAAGGGGGAGGTGCTGACCTCCCCTTTTTGGTGACCAGTGATAGGACATGAGGAGATGGAATGAAGCATCAGATGAAGTTCAGGTTGAACGTTAGGAAAAGGTGCTTCATTGAGAAGGTGGTTGGGCACTGGAATACGGTCCCCAAAGGATGTGGCTAGGGCACCAAGCCTGACAGAAATTAAGGACTATCTGGACAGTGCTGTCATATATTTTAGTGTCCTATATTTTAGACCTATGAGAAGAAGGGAGTTGGACTGTATGATCCTTACAGGTCCCTTCCAGTTTAAGATATTCTATGACTTACAAAGCCCAGGACACTTCCTACTGGCTGTATGAAGGCAATATTATTATAGGAACAAGGCATTCCTATGAGGAAAATGAACAGTACATTTGCTGATCTAACTCTAATCACCATTTTAGAAAGATAGAGCAATTTGCATCCAATTGGGTATGAGGAAGCAATGCTGCTTGATGAGTTGGCAGGAATTGCATGCTCTTTTTCCAGTCTTGTCTGTCTGCTGATGGGTCAGCTGTGCTGCTGAACAGCCAACATGTCCTCTGACCATGGATGGATGGCACAAAAAGAAGATACGCTGTTGCAAGCTGATTAGGGAATTGGGAAAAAGATGTTTCAACACACTGGTTTATGCACAGGGCTTATGTAGCCTTGATAATGTAGCCAATTGCCTGGACTGCAGGGAAAAGAAAGGTGAAAGAAGGAGCTGAGGAACCCATCTGAGCTATCTGTAGATCTGAGCTAATAATAGCCATCAGCAGCTAAAGCAGATGGGGTCAATGAGCTCTCCTCTCTCCTCCTTCACTGCTGAATTCACAACTATAGCTTGGAACATGTTGTAGTTGTCAGTCATTGTACAGGTAGCAAATTACTGAGCACCTTAAATAAAGAGGGAAGAAAAGGGCATGTACCAAGAGAAGTTAATTTGTAAAGCATGATGGCCCTCGGGCCTACAGAAGGGCTCCACATCTTCATTAACACGGGTTATTTTTGTGTGAGTTGCTCTGTAGGGAATTTTAATGTTCAGTAGGCATCAGTGATGTAAGAATTGGGTAGGGATACCCTGAACGAGAAATGTGACAGTGGCCATGTCTTGAGAGGCAACCTAAACCTTAACCCATATCTAGATCATACACAACTTATCCAAGAGCTGTGGAGATGGTGGAGTCTGGTTTCCTATGGTTTTGTCTTGCATCCAAGGGGATGCATACTCGCATTGTTTCTGCAGGAGTAGAATTCAGGACATTTCACTCTGCACTCAGCCAGGGCATCCATGCAGTAGCCTTCTCAGTGGGACAGTTTATAAGGGTGTTCTCCTCACTATCGGCTTGCCTATTTTTCTTGCTGGAGGAACTTAAAATATCTGATGCTGGCAAGTTTTTTTTACATTGGACTGGCTGGCCAGCAGGATTAAAGGTTACTAGAAGGAGACTGAGTCAAGTTATGCATACACATAAACATATACATACAATTACATAAACCTCAGTGCCTTAGGAAACTAAGCTATAAGTAGCATGAGGTGTAGTAGGATTATATGAAAAATGGTATTTTCCTCAAATAGCTAGAAAGGCAGTTAAGTTTGTTTGGACACCTGGTGGTTCAATAACATCTGAACATGTATATACACAGAGAGAGAAAATTATCAGCAGAACAAAAGGAGATGAAAGAAATCCACCTTGAAAGTATACACATGTCACTGACATTTTTGAAGTGTGAGTGTGTTGTAATACACTATACGCAAGCAGGTGTACTGAGCAGTGGGCATAATTTAAGGCATATTTCTTAAAGCAAGTAGAATTGGTTATTCTCCTTACAGAAATAAAGAGTAATATATCCAAGATTGGTGGTGGAACTACATTTTCAAACCTAACTAGTGGAGTACTGTCCTGGCTGTAGAGGACAACAAGTCCTTCTGCAGTGTTTTCCTTCAAAAGAAAAGAAATCCATTCAAAACACAACATCTATGGCCAAGTTGATTTGTCCTAAACAGCCCACTGCAGATGATTAAGAGCTACATTTGGCTCTGCTCTTTGTTTCATGTGGAACAAGGCGCTGTGGCAACTTATACATCGTCATAATGATCATGGCGTGGTTACAGAATCCCCCGTTGCTCCAGAAATGTCGTGTGGCTGATAGATTAGGGCAAGATGCTGCTCCCCATATTCAAGATTTGCCTCATGATAAGGATATTTTTGGGTAAGTTGCTCCACAGAGAATTCCTCCCCAGAGTTCAATATGCTTCAGTGATGTAGGAATTAGGTTAGGCGTCAGATGAAATCTGCAATCTTGTCTGATGTAACTGTAAATGACTGAGGTTAGGTTGCAGACAGCAGGAAACAGCTACTTAAATTCATTGTGACATGTACGTGGCAAGTTGTAAAATAATAATTTATAAAAGCAAAGATGGCAGTGTTTAGTTCTGAATTATATCTTTGGAGCTATTTCGTTCCTTTAAAGTTTAAGTATCGAAAGGACTGAGTTCTTGTGCACAGTTGACTTCAATGTAGACATTTCTGAAAGCAGCTATAAATATATTTACCTCTCCAAATTTGATTAAGGCTCTGGTAAGTGCAAAATATTCTCAAATCTGTTTTGCATTCTCTCAGTTAATGTTTTGATGTCTGTCTTCAGCTTTATGCTACCACAGAGTTGGCAAGGCACAGACAAAGCATTTTTTCCCAGCTCCCAACCATATCATAAATTCCACAAGCTTATAAAGCAGTGTTTATTCTGCTGGCATTCCCTAATGCAGCAAGTATATAGATGCCTAGCAGGGAAAAGAGATGATTTGGGTACAAATAACTACTAATAGTAAAAATTTTACTGTACTGTGGAAGAAAATTTTCAAGGGTTAATTCGCCACAGATTGCAATTGTTCTTCTAGAAAAGCTGCTTTGAACTATGCATGGCAATCTGACTCCCTGCTTGGGACTGCTGGAACTGAGCAATGATCCAGTGACATTCCCCAGGGAAGCTTTCTTGGCATGGCCTGTGCTCAGTTCCCTCCAAACCTGACATTCACAGAGAAGTAGAGAAAGAAATAGCATAGGGGTATCTACAACCTTGTAGGTGTTCTACAAGCTAACTGAACTCAGTGCAGGAGGTGAAAAAGCATCTGTTTGGATGGGGGAGCATTCCCAGGTCCCAGGGATGAGGCACTATAGTCCCTTTCCCTCCTTCTGGTATCTGAACAGATACTTCTCTATCTGGTATTATAAGCCACAGACATTCAAAACTCTGTCATCCAGAAATAGAGTGATTTGTTTTAGTAATCAGATCATACTAATAAATATGATCTTTGCTTCTTTACCTTTTGGTGGTGCATCTATAGATCACCTTTTTTTGGATTTTTAGGGTTTTTTAATATTGACAGAAAAGGGATTTACTTCTCTCTCATTCATTTATTTGCCAGGGGTATTTTTCCATACCAATTTTTAAAGTTTTCATGCAGCACCAATGAGCATGACATTTTCTTTAAAATATGTAGATTGGAATTCTCTGTTAAACCAAGGCAGAGGGTTTAAGAAAGATACCAAATATCACGTTTCACACTAAAACAAGTGTTGTTCAAACCATTATTTATAAACATGGACTAAGTAAAATAGAACGAGTCCAATGATTAGCAAAAACACAACCTCGATAGCATGTATGAGAATCAGACAGGTTTCACAAAACAATGACAGACAGCAAGATAGAAAACTAATAATTTCCTTATCAGGTGATGCCCTCAGAGAAGAGCTTCATGACCATGGAGTGCTGAACACCCCTGAAAAACTTTGAGGTTGCAAGAAATGTAAGGAAATTATGCTCTAGAGGTCAAAAGTCCCTAAAGGAAACTTGGCATAGCCAACCTGAAAAAACCTGATTAAGAGCTTGATTCTGACTTCATATGCTACAGACTGTCTTAAGTCGAGACCCCCTGAGAGTCACTTATCTCAGTTGAACTATAGTTTTGTATTGAACATGGAAGTTTTAGTGGTTTGTAGCATTTGAATAAATGTTTTTGAATAGCCATGTAACTGACAGGTGCTTCTGGAGGGCTCAACTCCTGCCATGGAGAAGAAAAACTCTTGTGGGACTCAGGCTCTGGTTCAGCCCCCAGAGCACCTAGGCACCTCATTTGCCTGCTGTTCTTTCTCAACCTGGGCAAAGCCATGATAGGCAGCTATCTCTGTTATCCTGTTCTGTACAGTTCAGAACAAGACCACCAACACTCAACAGATGTGACTACTCTACCTCACCACAATCTTTTCAGCAAGGAGCCAGGTAAGGGCTAGATTTCCTTGTTGAAGTGAGCAGGGCTATCAGCAAGTCCTGTCCAAGAGCCATAAGCATTCTTCATTCCTAAATCATATGGCTTGGCTTCTGGGAAGAAAATTATTGGTCTGTGCTGGTATGCAATAGCCTTTTAATCAAGTGACTGAGGCTTCTTTTTTGTTATTTAAAAATACAGACCTGGTAACAATCTATAATGATTCACTGAGAGCACTTTTCAGGTAAAGGTCTTGAGTAGCATCCTTCAAATTCTACTGAACTCTTGTGAGGTAAGAATTAATGTCTGGCTCTACACATGGGTACATTTTGCTCTGGGAAGGCAAGAGGCCAATTTCATAGAGGCAACTAGAACCTCATGGCACTCATAAACTTTGGAAAACACAAGCCGGGACTTTTTGCCCACAATGGGAATGCAAAGTGACTGGTGTTCAGTTCTCCAAGTGTTTTGCCTGCTTGTCATATTCTTTAGCCATTGGGCTCTTCTGCCTGGAGTGCCTGAGTGCTGTGGTCAAGGTGTACTGCAGGCTACTGCATGATTGCATGAGATGCACTCTGACTCAAGACAGTCTGATTTTTTTTCTTCCTCAGATCACTTTTTCCCTGGTCTCTAGCTATACCTAGGCAGTGAACAGAGTAAAATGCAGAACTCCTAATAACAGTCACATTGAACTGAAAAAAATACTAGCTTTAATCCTTTTTGTCTGTGTCTCTGCATTTTCCAGCATCTATAAAATGTTATTACCTATATATTAAAATACAGCAGATGTTGGTCAAGCATTTCTACTTAAGACTTAAAGCTAAGCTTCCACAACCATCTATTACTCCTGGAGTGAGACACTGGGGAATGGTTAAGCTTTCTTGGGTGTTTCATAAACGCAGTAACCCTTATGTGAGCTGTTTCAAGACTGGACTGAGTACTCTGTCAAGATGTT